TTTGAGTGTTCCCCATCCCTGATACATCCAGTATTCATGGCTTTGTACTCTAGTCTTTGAACTCTTTGTTGGTTAAAAAAAAAAAAAAAAAAAAGCTGTACCTTTTGATCCACCAGAAATACCACATATATGACTGAAGGCTATGGGAATATTAAATAATAAAATTTTAGAGCTAAACAGGACCTTAGAGACCATCCTTCCATATAATGAAACTTAAATGCTTAATATTACACATTTATATGAATAGGAAAATCTATTTAAAATCTATATATTTACAAGTTCAAAAATTTTCTGCATTCATTCATTCACATATGTGCACATCTGTATTATCTGTATATATGTAAAACACAAACAATAAAAGAGTTATATTACAATCAAATTTATAGTTGAAGAGCAATAAGTAGAGTGTGCTGAGGAAATTCCTGTTTGTCACTGGGCCAGGGCTTCTTTGAGATGATATGACTCTCAATCCGGAATTTGCTCAGTGGACAGGTAAAGATGGAACAAGAGGAGGATTAAGAAGGTACGGGATGGGGGCGCCTGGGTGGCTCAGTCATTAAGCGTCTGCCTGCGGCTCAGGTCATGATCCCAGGGTCCTGGGATCGAGTCCCACATATCAGGCTCCTCGCTCAGCGGGAAGCCTGCTTCTCCCTCTCCCACTCCCCCTAACTTGTATTCCCTCTCTCGCTGTCTCTCTCTCTGTCAAATAAATAAATAAAATCTTTAAAAAAAAAAAAAAGAAAGAAGGTACAGGGTGTACAAAGTGATACACAGCAAGTTCAGGACACAGCGTTTCATGAGGCAGGTTTTTTTTTTATCTTTTACTTTTTTTTATTTATTTGAGAGAGACAGATAGCGACAGAGATAGCAAGAGAGAGCATGAACAGGGAGGAGAGGGAGAAGTAGGCTCCCCACTCAGGAGGGAACCCGACATGCGGCTCGATTCAGGACTCTGGGTTCATGACCTGAGCCCAAGGCAGATGCTTACCGACTGAGCCACCCAGGTGCCCCAAAGGCAGGGTTCTGTGTAGATCAGGTCAGCTATTATTTATTGCTTACTAGCAGGGGCTCTGTCCTGGAGGCTGGGGAAACAAAGATGAATTTATAGTCTAGTGAGGGAACAGACACATGCATGTCACGTGGTGGATAAAAGGCATGGGCAAAGTCCTTCTGGCAGGCAATTAGCTCAGCCTGGGGAAATAAGCCCTCCTCAGAGTCTGGATTTTATCCTAAAGGCAATGGGCAGCTACTGTAAGCAATCCCTTTTAGGCATATCCACATTTATCCAGAGACCTGATCTTCGGTAAGGTTGAAGGCAGAGGTGAAACGAACGCTAGGGCAAAAGCAAGAGATTATCAGGGCACGGACCGGGAGAGTGGCAGTGGGAAAGGGATGGAGGTTTAGAATTGAAAAATACTTAGGAAGTAGAACAGCAAGACCTGAAGACGAATGAGAATTCAAAGAAAGACTAGAAGATGCTTCCTGGGCTTCTGGCTGGAGGAGCAAGGTGGACAGTAGTGCCACTCTCCAGAGCAGAACACAGAACAGGAAGTCTGCACAGGCAGAGGGGACATAAATTCTGTTTGCTGCCTGATGGACACAGAGGTACTAGGCCAGAAACTGGATATACAAATTCAAGAGAATTCTGGTTGATAGGCAAGGATGTGGGAGTCACCAGAATACTGAAGGTACCTGGAGCCACAGGCAGCTGTAAGATTAACAAGGGGCGCCTCGGTGGTTCAGTCAGTTAAGCCTCTGACTCCCGATTTCGGCTCAGGTCATGATCTCAGGGTCCTGGGATTGAGCCCCACATTGGGCCCTGTGCTCAGCAGGGAATCTGCTTCTCTCCTTCTCCCTCTCCACCCTTGTGCTGGCTCTCTCATTCTCTCTCAAATAAATACATAAACACTTAAAAAAAAAAAAAAAGGACGCTTGGGTGGCTCAGTTGGTTAAGCGTCTGCCTTCAGCTCAGGTCATGATCCCAGGATCCTGGGATCGAGTCCCGCATCGGACTCCCTGTGTGGCGGGAAGCCTGCTTCTCCCTCTGCTGCTGCTCCCCCCAGCTTGTGCGCTCTCTGACAAATAAATAAATAAAATCTTAAAATAAATTAATTAATTAAAATTTTAAAAAATTAAAAAAAAAGAAAGAGGTTTGCTACAGTTAACTTGAAATACCTTTTTCAGGAAAATCCTCTGGATGTGATTTTACATAAGCAAACATATCATGGTCCTTCACAGCATACATATAGTCTTGACGTTTTAAAAGATAATATCCAATAAAGACAAAGGAAGTAACATATAGGAGCTGGCGATGCAAACCTAAAATTCAAATGACAAATCCCAAAGAAAGCAAAAATCAGTCAATGTGTATTTAAAATCAGTTTTGCAGTTCAGACATACAATTTATTGTTATTTCTTCTATCATTCTTAAAAAAAAAAAAAAAGGCTCTTCTACATGGCTCCTTTGAAAAAACAGCCTTGACCTTGATATATCTTCCTAAAGAAATCTGGCAATTATGAAAAGCAACATTAAATCTACAAACATAACTATTAATGGAACCCAAGATTTTTTTAAATTCAGGTTTTATAAATTTCCTCAGGAGAAAAGTTGGATTACTACAAAATCCTGAAAACCTAAACTAACTTGTATTCCAGGACCTGTTCAGGATGTGATGTGACAGAGATGAAGTCCTTTACTATGCTTGAAAAAGCAATTTGGTTTGTCTCCATATACCAATTTATATTGGCATATTTATTGGTTACCAAAGCAACCAGCTACTCTACAAAAAAATCAATTCTCTTTTTAACTTCTAAACTTTGTACCATGTGTATGAATTACCTATTCAAAAACTATATTTAAAAAAATCATCCTATAATAATGAGACTGGGGAGGATCAAGTCATGTGATCTAGGGAAAGCCAAAATTTAAAATCTGAAGGGGAGATCCAAAGGTCTGAACTTTATACACAGAAGCATCTTTTTAAAAAGGCTAACTACAAGTTTGATTTTTTTTCCCTAGAAACATTTATTTAAAATTTAAAACCATATTACTTCATACAGCAAACTGTGCACTTTGATATATCACAGTGTCTTAAAAAGGAAAATAATCAGATTTGTTTGGAAAGTTATTTACATCAGCCTAGAATGATTGGCAAGTAACACAGTTACTATGAAACCCAAATTGTTACAAAATGTTTACAAAAAACTATATTCATAGAAATTCTGCAGGTCCACAAAGGGCATCCCCTGAATGGCCCAGAGACCAGTGTGTGGGAACCATGTTGAGTGGGAGTGGGGGGGATCCAGGCACTCTGGTCTGGGTGGTGGGGCAGGCCAAGGGTCTCGCATGGCACTGTCTAGGGGCTCAGCCCTGGGGCTGGGAACCCAAGTCCCCAACAAGGGAGGCCCAGGCAGAGATGGGGTGGGGGTTTGGAGCACAGTGGCATGTGGGCCCCTGGAGCCAGGAGAGGCCCCTCCTCAGGGGGCTGGATTCAGATGTGCTCTGGCGGTGGGGGGTGGGGGGCAGAGGCAGATTAAGTGCACACCAGCCTGATGCATGGGGCCCAAGCAGAAGGCAGGCTCCGACCGCACGGAAGCTCACGCCAGGTGTCTTCTCCCTTGCAGATTCCAGAGGAGCTCTGACCGGTGACAGGGGCAGGACCGCTAGCTAAAGGACTGGGATCATGAGGCCCAGGAGGAGCGGGGAGGCCCAGGAGGAGCGGACAAGTTTGATTTTCTAGCTATGCCCCAGAATTCTATCCCCAGCCCTCTTCTTATCCCACACGTATTCCTTTGAAGAACTCGTTTATTCCTATAGTTTTATCTTCCGTCCATATACTGGTGACCTGCAAGTGTGTTCAACTCAAACACCCATGCTGAATAACAGATATATCCAAATGTTTGACAGGTATGTTCCCCTGAATACCCCCCAAAAGAACTTCCTTCCTTCCTACTCATACCTCTTCTTCTTAATTCAGAGAATGATAAGACCATTCACCCAGGAAGTCAAGTCCTGGGTAATAAATACAGTAATCATCCTTTTTTTTTTTTTTTTAACCCTCATCCCCCCATCCAGTCACTGAGTCCTGTCAAGTCCTTATAAATATTTCCTTGCCTCACTTCAGGGAACTCATCTCTCACTCATACTAACTGCTCTCTCTTTCATCTCATTTTCCATTCCACACTTATCCCAGCCTTTACCCTGTCACTGGAGGAATTTTTACTAAAATACAAACCTAGCTTGTCAGCCCCTTGTTCTTCACTATACTCAACAGGAGACCAAACTGTTGGATAATGACCTCCCAGGCCCTTCATGAGCTGACTCTTCATCTTCATCTGACACTCCGCGATAACGCACATTGTGCTCCAGCAATGCTGAACTACTTTTAATTCCTCATGCAAACTAGATTCCTTCATGCTTTTTTATGCCACCCACTGGTTATTTTTCTGCCCAGAGACCTCCTCAAGATTCAATTCAGACATCATTTCTGCTAAGAAGTCTTTCCAGAACCTTCCTTAATGGGGTTAACAGAATGAACACCTCTCAATATGTAAACTGCTAGAGAAATTATTTCCATCTACTACCACGAAAAACCAATGCTTAATTCATCTTTGTACACCAGCACACAGGTAGCACTTAATAAATTTTAATAAATGGATAAATGGCCTTGGGCAAGTCAATTTACTACCTTTAAACAAAGGTAATACCTAGCATATCATTCTTACAGCAGTGTTATGTAAACCAAAAGAAAATACATGTAAAAATATTTTGGAAAAATGTATAAAACAATAAAAATGCAAAATATTACTATGATCTGGGACTGGACAGGACCCAGACTCTTTTGCATTCTCCTTTACCCCAAACAGCCATCAGTTCCCCTAATGGGCCACCTGCAATACAGTAAACCAAAGTGTGCTGGGTTCTACTTGTGTGCCACAGGACTACACAAAGACCCAGACTCCCTATGCTTACCCATATCCCTCACAGAAGACTTCCTGAATGTTTCCGATGATGATGTCAGTGTCCCAGCCCTAAAGGCATGGTGTGGCCTCCTACCTTGTCCCCCTTTCCCTAACCTCTTCCCTACCTCTCAGTGGTGGTCTCCCTCCTACCAAATGCACAACCCCTCCACAATCATTTTCCCTTTCTTTATTAAGTGACTCTAAACTTGGAAGCCATGGTGCTCTTTGCAGAACACCATAAATTACTGATATATTAAACTAGAAATCAATTAAAAAACCCTAGAAATCAACAAATATATTTAATTTTGTGGACTACATTCAGATACCATACCAAGACCTAAATTTTCCAAAGCAACTTAGGGACACCCAGGGAACTCAGGAACTCTGGCCCCCAGCCCTTAGATTAAGGGCTTTATACATCATCTCATCTAGTTCGCACAGACACACGGAGGGAGATAGCATCCCTATTTCATAGAGAAGGAAACGAACGCTCATGGAGATAAATAACTTCCCCAGAATCAAATGGCTAGTAGGATGGAGGTGGTGTCAAACCTAAAATCATGTGCTCTTGACCACTATTCTCTTCCTCTGGAATAGTCTCGATTTAATCTGTACCTCCTTTGTGCTCCCAAAGTGCCCACTGCTCACCTACTTCTATGAAAATACATTCTCTGTTATACCTAGACCCATAATGGACTGTTTACTTGTCTCTCTGACTCGACTAAGAGCTTTTCAAGGTCAGGGATGGTATTCTTCACCCCATATACCTGGTATGTAATACTGCCTGGCACAGAGAAAGAGCTCAGTAAATGCTGAACAAACAAAGATACTGTAAACTGCGTAACAACAGCTAAGAAATGGAAACTTTGTCCAGCACCTTCTGTGTGCCAGGCATTTTATCTATAGAATCTCACTTAATTCTCACAACAAATATGCAAGGACTAATTATTCTCACTTTTTTTAAAAAAGATTTATTTATTTGATGGCAAACAGACACATGAAAAAGTGCTCAACATCACTCGGCATCAGGGAAATAGAAATCAAAACCTTAATGAGATACCACCTCACACCAGTCAGAATGGCTAAAATTAACAAGTCAGGAAATGACAGATGTTGGCAGGGATGCGTAGAAAGGGGAACCCTCGTACACCGTTGGTGGGAATGCAAGCTGGCGCAGCCGCTCTGGAAAACAGTATGGAGGTTCCTCAAAAAGTTAAAAATAGAGCTACCCTATGACCTAGCAATTGCACTACTGGGTATTTACCCCAAAGATACAAATGTAGTGATCTGAAGGGGCATGTGCACCTCAATGTTTATAGCAGCAATGTCCACAATAGCCAAACTATGGAAAGAGCCTAGATGTCCATCAACAGATGAACGGATAAAGAAGATGTGGTATATATATACAATGGAATATTATGCAGCCATCAAAAAACCCCAAATCTTGCCATTTGCAATGCCGTGGCTGGAACTAGAAGGTATTATGCTAAGTGAAATAAGTCAATCAGAGAAAGACAGTTATCATATGATCTCACTGATACGAGGAATTTCAGAAATAAGACAGAGGATCATAGGGGAAGGGAGGGCAAAATGAAAACAAGACGAAACCAGAGAGGGAGACAAACCATAAGAGACTCCTAATCTCAGGAAACAAACTGAGGGTTGCTGGAGTGGAGGGGGGTGGGAGGGATGGGGTGGCTGGGTGATGGACAGTGGGGAGGGTATGTGCTATGATGAGCACTGTGAATTTTTTAAGACTGATGAATCACAGACCTGTACCCCTAAAACAAATACATTATATGTTAATAAAAAAAAAAATTTATTTAGAGACCAAGAGCAAGAGAGAGCAAGCAAGCGAGCACGGGTGGGGGAGATGGGAGGGCAGAGGCTGAGAGTCTTGAGAAGACTCCGTCCCACACGGCACTCTATCTCACAACCCTGAGGTCACAAGCCCAATATCACGACCTGAGCCAAAACCACGAGTCAGATGCTTAACCAACTGTGCCACCCAAGCGCCCCAATTATTCTCATTTTAGAGATGAAGATACTTTTTGCCTCTGAACAGCTTGACCAAGTGACTTGCCCAAGCCAATACAGATAGGAGACAGTGAAGCAAGGCCATTTAGTTCCACAGTGGAGTTCTTTCCATTACAACAAACGACAGGCTTGGGGAAATGTGGAGTAGTGATGAAAAGGAAGAAAACCTCATCTCCCTAAAGACAGAAATAGACAAAGATCACTCCTTTCTGTGGAGAGGGGTCATATCCAAGGGAGATGGGATTTCAATGCTATTTGAGCACTGGAAATGCTGAGATTTGGGGAGCTGGGAGCTGGACTTCAGGCATGACATAGAGCTGGAAGGTGGCAAAAAGAGGCACAAATGAGGTGACTCCTGGTTGCCCGAACCACTGTGTTAGCTTTCTTCTTAACTGAGCACCTTGGCTCCAATCAGTGCTTTGCATTGACAAAGTTGACCCCCCCTTTTTAAGATTTATTTATTTGAGAGAGAGCATGCACGTGTGAGAGCGGGATGGGGGGAGACACAACAGAGGGAGAGAGAATCTCAAGCAGATTCCTCACTGGGCAGAGAGCCGGGCATGGGGCTCAATCTCACAACCCTGAGATCATGATCTGAGCAGCCACCCAGGCACCCCAAGTTGACCTTCCTTTTAAAACATAAGGCCCCCAGTGGCGCCTGGGTGGCTCAGGCGGTTAAGCATCTGCTTTCGGCTGGGGTCGCGATCCCAGGGTCCTGGGACTGAGTCCTGCGTTGGGCTCCTTGCTCAGTGGGGAGCCTGCTTCTCCCTCTGCCTGTTGATCCCCCTGCTTGTATGGTCTTTCTCTCTCTGACAAGTGGATAAATAAAATCTTTAAAAAAATAAAACAAAAAATAAAACACAAGGCCCAGGGGTACCTGGGTGGCTCAGTCAGTTAAGTGTCTGATACTTGATTTCAGCTCAGGTCATGATCTTGGAGGTTGCTCTCTCTCTAAAAATAAATAAATGAAAAATAAAACACAAGGCCTGGGGGTGCCTAGCTGGCCCAGACGGTAGAGCATCCAACTCTTGATCGCAAGGTGGTGAGTTCAAGCCCCACATTGGGCATGGAGCCTACTTACAAAAAACAAACAAAAAAACACAATGCCTGATTACTGCATCTCTCCACTCTGCACCCCTCCCCACAACAACTCTCAAAAGCTAAAAAGGTTTCCTGTCTGCCTAGAGAATAAACTGCCATTATCTACCTAAATCTCCTCCTTAGCCTTATCACCCTAACCTGCACACTCAATCATGAAACTCTTCTAGGCTCAGAGGCCCTTGTCTCCATTTACTTCCACTAGCCTCCCATGGGCCTGGAAGGCTCTTCTCCTAGTATTTGCCTGATAAATCAAAGCTAAGTTCAAAGACACCTCTTCCAAAGCTTCCCTCCTGTTTTCCCTTTGGAAATCCATTGCCCTTAGCACAGCTACCATGTCAGCTATTATCTGACAGGAGACCACCGACACACTACTAGAAAATACAGTCCAGGGGCACCTGGGTGGCTCAGTCAGTTAAGCCTCTGCTGCCTTCAGCTCAGGTCACGATCCTGGGGTTGTGGGATCCAGCCCCGCCTCTCCGCTGATCAGGGAGCCTGCTTCTCCCTCTCCTCCCCGCTCGAGCTCTCTCTCTTAAATAAGTAAATAATAAATGAATGGATAGATAGATAGATTAGAATGAATACAGCCCAGAGGTTCAGCCTCTCCTACTCAAAGCAGGACGGAGGGGGGTCCCCAGATCAGCAGTATCTGGGAGCTTGTTAACAGCAGACTTCCTCCCAGACCTTCTGAATCAAAATCCACATTTTTTTTTTAAAGATTTTATTTATTTATGTGAGAGAGAATGAGAGACAGAGAGCATGAGAGGGAAGAGGGTCAGAGGGAGAAGCAGACTCCCTGCTGAGCAGGGAGCCTGATGTGGGACTCGATCCCGGGACTCCAAGATCATGACCTGAGCCGAAGGCAGTCGCTTAACCAACTGAGCCACCCAGGCGCCCCAAAATCCACATTTTAACAAGACCCCCAGGTTATTAGTATGCATAGTTAAGTTTGAGAAGCACTGATTTGAATATGTATGTGAGGTCTAAAAACAGGCTTGCTACTTCATAGCCATATGACCTTGGGCAAGATGCGTTAACGCCTCTAAATCTCTGTTTCTTCATTCCCCAAAAAGGATTTTGAGGATAAAGACTACCATGCACGTAATGTTAGTAGTGCATGGCACAAAGTATACGCTCATTTTTGCACACACCACAGCGCGAACCAAGAGAGGAGCTGGCAGTCCGGTCCCGGGTCCTTCACAGACTCACTTGTGGGTTCGTGGGTTTCAATGACCTCAGTTTCCTGAAGTGCCAAATGACACTTTGGCCCTACCGGGTTCTGAAGAGCTCACGGGACGCAGATGCCCCAGGGAGGCGAGGCGGGGCCTGCTAGGTGAAAAGGCCCGGACAAACGAAAGCACCTTCGGCAGCCTATGGGGGAACCGGCCCGCAGCCCCGCGTCCCCCTCTCCTCCCAGCCGACCCAGCCCGCGCAGCCCTCACCCGCAGACACCACCGGCCTCCGCCGGATCGCGTTATCAAGCAGGCCGGAACAGTAGCCCAAGAAGCCGATGTAGGCGAGCCGCGGGTCGGTCAGCTTGGGCGGGGGAAGGCTCCGGGCCTCATCCGGCAAGAACTGTAAGGGCACTCGGCCCGGCCTTCCGCTCATCATGGTGACGCCGTTCCCACTTGAGGCCTGGCCTCGGACCGCCAAATACAAAGAAAACCACTGCCTGGGCGTACGCCGCGAGCTTTCTCCTCCGAGAACGCCGCTGAAGGGCATGGCGCAGGGCGGTGCACAGCCCAAACACTTCCCGGAGCACGCTGCTGCCGGGACCCCGCGCACGAGGTTCCGGGATACTAAATGGCCCACCCTGCTCCAGCTCTTGCCCCCGCTAATTCTGGCAGGTAGGGTTTGGGGGCTTGATGCCGTGGGGTCGGGGGTACACGAATTGAGCAAATCTGAAGAAGACTAGTAGATACTGCTTTTTTTCACTCAACCTCCCCCACCAGGAATTGCCTCTCCCTCCCCTGATCCTGAATGGTGCTTCCAGAACCCACAGGTAGGCTTGATAGATTGTTTCAAGAAACGTAATTAATCGAAATCTCATAAAAGCTAGTTTGCATTTCCTGGGTTTCCCATCGTTCACAGGCACACCTTCCAGAACCTAAAATTAAGGTCCAGCCAGCAACAAAGAATTCAGAAGACACCAGGACCTGATCATTTAGCCAAATTCTTGAAATTTAGCCTGGGTGGCAGCACCCTAAAATTCTTCACCTCTGGGTCTTCAGGTCCTCGCACGTGGCACAAGGAAAAGCTGTAACCTAAAGGTTTGAGGAATAAAAGAAAGAAGGAATTTATAATCTTCTGCCAAGTAATTGTCCAGTCTCTGCTTACCTGCCTCCAGTAATGAGGAGCTTCTATATTTGAACGGCTCTCTTTAGAAAACCCTTTCTGATTTGTGTGAAAATGTGTTTATTAGTGAGATCAACATTTTACCTAAATGAATGCTGATCAAATCAGAGGTTAATGCAAAGGTATATGTATAAAAGGTATTGAGCTCCAAAGTAGTAGAATTAAATATCAGTTAAGAGAGGTTAAAGGAATGGGGGGGCGCTGGATGGCTCAGTCGGTTAAGCGTGTGCCCCCAGCTTGGGTCATGATCTCAGGGTCCTGGGATCGAGCCCCCAGTGGGACTCCCTGCTCAGCGGGAGCCAGCCTCTCCCTCCCCCTCTGCTGTTCTCCCTGCTTGTGCTCTCTCTCTCTGTCAAATAAATAAAGAAAATATTTTTTTAAAAAAAGAGAGTGATTAAAGGATGGATCTTTTGTGCCTATAAAAAGCACTCCCACATCTATAATATTTCAAGTTAGGATTTCCTGAAGTAAGGTATATTGGGAGTTTCCTGGAGCGCAGCAAATGTTTCAAAGTTTCACATTCTTTGATCCAGTAATTACAGGGCTGGGAATCTGTCCTATGGAAATAGTATGACGTATAAAAAAGCTGTTCTGCAATAAAAAAAAAAAAAACAACCCACAGTGTTTATTTTAAAATTACATCAAAAGATGGAAAACCACTAAAAATTGTCCACAGTAAGATTATTTTGAATACTAGATGAACTCCTGGCAAACACTTAAAAATATTTAAATGATGTTTACACATTCTTCTCCCCCACATTCTTCTGAGTCCAATTTGGGACATTTTTTTTTTTAAACAAAACTTAAAAGACAAAAAATTACAAAGAACAAGGTAACAAATACCCATATTTTATCACCTCGAATTAACAACCATTAATATTTTGTCATATTTATTTTATTTTTTTAAAGATTTATTTATTTATTTGACAAAGAGAAAGCACAAGCAGGGGGAATGGAAGAGGGAGAAGCAGACTCTCCAAGGAGCAGGGAGCCTGATGCAGGGCTCGATCCTGGGACTCGGGGATCATTACCTGAGCCGAAGGCAGGCGCTTAACCCACTGAACCATCCAGGCGCCCCTTGTCATATTTACTTTTAACCTTTTTTTAAAAAGGAAATAGAACACTGTAGATATAGCTGAATTCCCCTTTCCTTTCTTTCCCAGAGAACCATTATCATGAGATTAGTGTATATACTTCCAGTTCATTTTTTATATTTTTATATATATTTAGTATTGTGTTATGTGCATTTTTAATTTCTTTTTACCTGAATAGTATAATTCATTGCGCCTCTATTCTCTCACTTTTATCTTTCAATGTAATGATTCATTCCTTTTGACTACCGTATAATATTCCATCACATAAATATGTCATATTTTATTTAAATCATTACCTTTTTGATGGATATTTAGATTGTTCTCAATTCCTTGAAAGTCTATACTCTACTGTCCAGAGAAACTTTTGCATACATGTACCAGGACTAGGAGATGTACAAGAATATTCACAGGAGGAATAGCCATTTGTAATACTCCCAAACTGGAAACATCTTAAATGTCTATTAAGAACAGAACAGAAAATAAATTGTGGTATTTTCATAGAAAGGTGTATATATGTATTAGTATGATGGATCTCAAAAAAGAGAGTCATGTTAAAAAAGCGAATGAACAATAAGGGAACAACAGGTAAGTTACAGGGGAATATATAATTACATTTATATAAAGTTCAATATTAAGCAAAAATACATTGGTTAGAGATACACATATTAGTGGTAAAACTGGAAGGAAAAGCAAGAGAAAGATTAACATAAATGTTCAGAATAGTTATCTCTGGGGAAGGAAAAGCACATAGAAGGCCTTTAAGATATTAATACTATTCTCTTTCTAAGCTCTGTCATGGGTACATGGGTGTACATTTTATTATTATTATTATTTTTTAAAATTTTTTATTGTTATGTTAATCACCATACATTACATAATTAGTTTTTGATGTAGTGTTCCATGATTCATTGTTTGTGCATAACACCCAGTGCTCCATGCAGAACGTGCCCTCTTTAATACCCATCACCAGGCTAACCCATCCCCCCACCCCCTCCCCTCTAGAACCCTCAGTTTGTTTTTCAGAGTCCATCGTCTCTCATGGTTTGTCTCCCCCTCTGACTTCATTTTATTATTTTTAACTTTACATATGCATTTTACACACTTTTGGATTTATGGTATCTTTAATGTAATAATAAATTTATATTGCTAAATTAAAATTTTAGCTTTTCATTATGGTAAAAATACATAACATTAAATTTACCATCTTAACCATTTTTAAGTGTATAGTTCAGTAGTGTTAAGTATACTCACATTGTAGTGCAACATATCTCTAGAACTTCATCCTGCAAAACTAAAATTCTAGGGCGTCTGGGTGGCTCAGTTGGTTGAGCGACTGCCTTCGGCTCAGGTCATGATCCTGGAGTCCCAGGATCGAGTCCCGCATCGGGCTCCCTGCTCAGCGGGGAGTCTGCTTCTCCCTCTGACCCTCTTCCCTCTCGTGCTCTCTATCTCTCATTCTCTCTCTCTCAAATAAATTTAAAAAAATCTTTAAAAAAAATAAATAAAAAAACTGAAATTCTATACCAATTAAACACTAATTCCTTTTCCCTCCTCCCCCAGCTTTAGCAACCACCCCTCTACTTTCTGTTTCTATGACTCTGACCTCTGTAGATACTTCCTATGTGTGGAATTATACAATATTTGTCCTTTCGTGACTGGCTTATTTCACTTACTATAATGTCCTTGAAGTTAACCCAAGTCATTGCATGTGACAGGGTTTTCTTCCTTTTTGAGGCTACATAATATTCCATCACAAAATGCATATACTACAAGATTTTTTTTAAGATTTTTAAAAATATTTATTTATTTATTTGAGAGAGAGAGTGAGCACACTGCACAAGCAGGGGGAGAGGCAGAGGGAGAGAATCAGACTCCTGGCTGAGCATGGAGCCCCACACAGGCCTTGATCTCACAACCCTGAGATCATGACCTGAGCTGAAATCAAGAGTCCGATGCTTAACTGATTGAACCATCCAGGTGCCTCCTACATTTTCTTTATTTCTTTTCTTTTCTGTTCTTTCTTTCTTTTTTTTTTTAAGATTTTATTTATTTGCCAGAGAGAGAGAGAGAGCAAGAGAGCACGGCAGGGGGAGCGGCAGGCAGAGGGAGAGGGAGAAGCAGGCTCTAGGCTGAGCAGGGAGCCCGATGCGGGGCTCAATCCCAGGACCCTGAGCTGAAGACTGACCTGAGCCAAAGGCTGACGCTTAACCGACTGAGCCACCCAGGCGTCCCTCCTCCTACATTTTCTTTATCTGTTCATCTGTCAATGGACATTTGGGTTGCTTCCACCTCTTTACCTACTATGAGTAGTGCTGCAATGAAAACAGGTATGCAAATATCCCAAGTCCTGCTTTGAATTCTTTTAGATATATACCCAGAAGTGGGATGGCTGAATCATATGGTAATTCTATTTTTTATTTTTCTGAGGACCTCTGTACTGTTTTCCATAATGGCTGCACCATTTTACATTCTCACAGTGCCTAAGGGTTCCAAGTTCACATCCTTGCCGGTACTTGTTGCTTTCTCTTCTTTTGATAATGGCCATCCTATTAAGTGTGAGATATTATCTCATTGTGGCTTTTTTTTTAAAGATTTTATTTATTTATTTATTTGACAGAGAGATAGCACAAGCAGGCAGAGCGGGCAGTCATTGTGGTTTTGGTTTGCATTTCTCTTATGATTAGTAATGTTGAGCTTCTTTTCATATACCAACATGTTGGCCGTGTGTGTATCTTATTTGGAGAATTGTCTATTCATGTCCTTTGACCATTTAAAAATCAGGTTGTAGACAAATGGCCATCTTGATTACTATTATTTTGTAATACGTTTTGAAATCGGAAAGTGTGAGGTCTCCAACTTCCTTTTTAAAGATTATTTTGGCAATGTGGTGTCAATAATACTTCTTTCTTTTCCTTTCTTTCTTTATTCTTTCCTTTCTTTCTTTCTTTTCTTCCTTCATTCCTTCCTTTCTCTCTCTCCCTCTCTCTCTCTCTCCCTCCCTTCCTTTTTTTTTTTTTTTTTTAATGTAGGCTCCATGCCCAGCATGGAGGCCAACCTGGGGCCTAAACTCAGGACCCTGAGATCAACACCTGAGCTGAGATCAAGAGTTGGATGCTTAACTGACTGAGCCACCCAGGCACCCCCATTTTTTTCTTAAATACATTTTTTAAAAGATTTAATTTATTTGAGAGGGCGAGAGTACGAGTGGGGCGGAGCAGAGGGAGAGGGAGAAGGAGACTCTCCGCTGAGCAGGGAGCCTGACCTGGGGCTCGAACCCAGGACCCTGAGATCATGACCTGAGCTGAAGGCAGCCGCTTAATGGACTGAGCCACCCAGGCGCCCCACCCATTTTTT